TTTTTTTTTTTTTTTTTTTTTTTTAAATAATGCCCAGGTTGTTGTAGAGGCGCGACATCAGACCCGGGGATGCTCTTCAGGGTTTAACCACTCGAGGTTCGAGATGACCCACAGCCCATAGCTTTCTGGATCATAAATTTCACGGGGGAGAATGAGAGACCTTTCTTCTTATCGTGTTTCGAGGTGAAGTATGTGCCGTCCTTGGTGGACATGACCATTAAACCACCGGTCCCCCCGACGTCAGAAACCTCGGGGGTACTGGTAGTGCCGTTTCACGACGGGTACCGGTAGTACAGCATGGAAAACCGGGCGGGCCTCCGTACGGAATTTGCGACAAAAATTGGAAATAAACCGAATCGGCACGGCGAATATTTCGCCGTCAAAATGATTTTTTTTTTTCTGATATTTTTCCCTGAAAGATCACGACCTAATTTACGGACCCTCAAATTTTCAGACATTTTCATGATTTCTTCTGAGCACAAAAAATCGGCAAAGTTGCCGCTTGCAAAATGGCGGGATTGGACCCGTCGGCCTCCGTACAACCCGGCGCCTCCATACGGTCGCCGCCCCTCCGTACACCCCGGCCCTAACTCACAGGGACTAGGGGTTTTCGGTGGCGGGGGGACCGGTGGTTTAACGAGAGGTTGAGAAAATTTGCGGCTCTCCCATGTCCATCGATCACAACTTCGGTTGTTTCTTTAACGTCGATGAAATCGTGCGGGTAGATCCTGCGGCCCGGGTTCTGGCTATGGACACCATCCTTGAGGAAATCGGTAATGATCGTGTTGTTTAGAGAACACAGATCATCTATATATCTGTAGGTGACTTCGAAGCATCTAACTGCCGCCCAATCCTGCATTTTGAACAGGTGCGAGATTAGTCCGTAATCGTACTTGAAGAAATACACATCACAAAAGATAGGGGAACAAGCCAGACCCATGGGAATCCCGAGGATCTGTTTCCAGACCCTGTTCCCCATCTGTACCACCCCGTTGGAGACAAGCCACTCACAAACGTCGATGATCCCTTGTTTGTCGAAGTACAGCCTGTCCCTGTCCCTGTCCTGATCGCCAGCTACCCAGTAAGGGTGCAGTGTGTCGTTTGTTGCGACCCTGATTGCAATCACATCCCTGGTCGTCCTGGCCCTCCTCCATTCCATGGCGCAGCTAACAAAGAAACTGATCGCCTTCAGCAGCCCGTCCTCTGATTCGTCCGTGGGTATCGTCTCGAAACACCTTGTGATATCCCCGGTGAAGATGGAGTAGATGCGCCCGGGGATGTTTGCAACGAACTCCCCTATCGAGGAGATCGGCCACCAGAAGTTGGGTTTGACCCCATGCTCGGCACGAACCTCTTCGCTCTTACTTGTGCAGAGGGCCTGAACATCCCCCGCCAGGAGCTTTAGTAGACATTCGCAAACGACTGCCACCGGGGAAAGCACCGAGTCCGCCGTGTTCGTAATCCATCTGAAGGACTGCTTGTGTGCATTGTATACCGTCATGAGGTGCGGGAGTGGCAGCGCCTCGTGCCCAACATGAGTGTAGGCAGCAGCCTCTTGCATTAGCCTTGCCGTGGCCTGCTCCGGCGTATCCGGGAGCGGAGTGAAGTCCAGCCCCGAGAGTCTCTGCAACGCCAGCCGCCTGATGAAGTTGATGCAGGCGAACGTGGGGGTGTGTGGCGCCTTGTCCGTATGACAAACTAGATACCTGCTCGTCAGCCACTCGATCTCGCCCCTTACCGCCACGCTATTGATGGGTTCGCCTGCGATATGCATATGCTTCGTACGAAAGCTCCTAATGGACTTCCTCGCGTTCTCTCGTACGGTCGCCTTCACTCACCTCTCCTCCCCTAGGGACAGCTCTTCATCGCATCTCCGTATGGTGAGTATCTTATCCAGCACCACCTCGACCTCGTCAATTGCAAACTCCTCATCGAGCGATCTTAGCGGGATGTGATTCAGACCCGCATTAAGCATGAGCTGCAACTGGCCATTGTTCGTTAGGTCGGTATCATTTGTGATGACGTGCAAGGTACCTTCTTCCGGGAGCATCTTGATGGTGGCAGTGTTGAGGAACTCGGCGTACCTCCCTGCGCCGTACTGGCAGAACTCCGATACATACCCTGCTTCCCATTCGTTCATCCTGAACCTCCTGAACACCCTTGCTGGTTTGCAAACCTTGGCACCTAAAACTTCGTCATATCGCCACCCGATGATCACATCCTCCAACCAAGTTGTCGATCTCTCCCCCATCACCTGCTTCAGCGCCTCTAGGACCATGCTTCTCAGGGGTACCGCCTCCATAAGCCTGCTCGTGTATCTGACATGTACAAATTGGTCTTGCTCCCGCTCCCTCCTTTTCCATGCGGATCTTCCTGACGGAAGCACGATCACGCAGCCCGCTTTCTCCGGGTCGAAGCTCTCATCCTGCGTGGTGCACGTAAGCTCATAGGTGGGAGGACCATTGTTAGAGGGGACCGTTTCTAGTGTAAATGGTGACTAGTGAAAGGCTGGAGGAACAACCCCCGACAGGCAGTACAAAGATATAGCTACACTGCGTTGGTGAGTTAAAGAAAATAAGACAGCAACAGGGGAAGGGGAAAAAAAGGGGAAAAAAGGAAGGGGAAAAAAAAAGAAAACAAGAAAAAAGAAAAAAATGTGTGTGGGGAAAACAACACCAGAGAAAAAACCATTATCACGCTGTCAAGACAGAAACCCCTGGGAGGGTTTCTGCCCGAGTTTGTCAAGGTCAGTCGCTGTCCGATTTTTTTTATGGGATTGAGGAACAGGATGAGATTGACGTTGCCAAAAGTTGTTAAGACCAACCCTATAACTGAGAAACCTAAAGCCTGACGTCGTTGATGTATGACGTCGTTGACATGGGACGTCGTTGACATGTGACGACAACGGCGTCCGTTCGAGACAGCGGGAGTCGGCGGTATGGCCTGGCGTCCGCGGGTCTCGACATGGCCGCAGGGGTGCGCGGTCGTAAAAAGTCTGAGACTAGACTTATTCTACCTAAAAGATGTCGCGCGGCTGTTAAGCCGCGCGATTCAGGGCCTAGGTAGGCTAAAAAGGAGGGATGCGCAGGGTATAGGGCTACGGTGCGAGAGGAATAGCAAGGTTTTTCTTTTTTTCTGGGCCGCCGGGTTAACCTCGAGCCAGGGTGAGGCCAGCAGGCCTATACCGAGGCCTACCCGATGGGCGGTCCCGGAGTGGTGGATGGGCAGCCATCCATAGGGAAGAAGCGGGCAGGTAAAGCCTGCAAGGTTACGGTATGGGGGAAACCTGACTGGGCGAGCTCTTCACATAGGCGAGCTGCTCCTGTCATTATCATGATAGGAGCTATCCAAGTACGTTATCGCAGAGGACTCTTACCTATCTGGTACCGGGATCAAGCTTGGCTGCAAGCATCTTACCGGGCTAGCTCCTTTTGGAGCAGCCCAAGGCAGTTGGGCGCGGCCAATCTCAGCCGCGCGATCTTGAGGATCGCGCAGCCGAGATCTGCCGCGCCCAGATCAAAGTGGCCCCTGCGCAAGGATGACACATAAATCGAGAAAAGGCCAAAATTTTTCCTTTTTTGGTCTCGGATGGGGTCGAACTTGGGTCTGTAATTCGACAGATCGTGTTAGGGGGGGCCACACGATGTGACCACTGACGTGGCCGTTGGCATAGCCAACGACAAAAAAAA